ACTCGTTGGGTTAGGTTTACGTGGCTAGTTCCTAGCCTCCTAATATTAATAAAAATAGAGAACAACATAAAAAAAACTTCTCAAACAAGTTTTTCAGTATTTTTTTTGTCAACAAAACAAATAAAATTTTCAGTTAATATATTAAAAAAAATAATATTTTTCAGCCTCAACTGAAAGAAAGTTTGCAGTCTATGAACTTAAAATCGTGTGGTTTTAATAAAAAGTCTTTTCTCTTTCTAATTTAAATTATACAACACTTTTTTTAATAAATGTCTTTGGATTTTATTTCAAAATTACATAAATTTTTAATTGAAAAACTTAAATAATTTTTAATTTTTAATTTTTAATAATTATTTAATCTTTATCCTAAAATCTACGAGAATTGAGTGCTTTAAAGAAACCCCCCTAACTTTAACTTGACCACCCTAAATTTTAGTCAGTTGTGACCGATAAACACTTTAAAAATACTTAATTGTAACTTTTTTTTACTTAAAATTTATTTTAAATTAATTCTTAACTCTATTTTTTAAAAAGGACAAATTTTTATTTTTAACTTTAACTTTATTTTTATTTTTTCACTTATTTACTCTATTATCAAAAAAATTTTATTTTTTCGTTAACAATAATATATTTAAATACACAAATTATGTTTAAATTATTTATATGTAAAATAATAAGTAAAAAATAACAAATCAAAATCAGCAACAGGACTAATACATAAATTATTATCTAAATTGTTTATATATTATTTTACATATAAACAATTTTACATAATTGTTTCAGCAGCAGGACTCGTATTATTTTGAGTAGGGTGAATAATGAAAAAATTTGTAAATTAAATCAAAATCCAACAAATCAAAGATGTGTAATCCTGACAATAAAATGGGTCCACCTTAATGTGAATCTTGCCCGAGTTTTTCCACCATGGGATTATAATTCATTTTTATAGAAATAAATTATGTTCTTTCGTTGATAACATGGCATATCAACTCCAATATAAAAAAACAAAAAATTCATCCCGGTTGATGTTAAAGTAACAACTGATTCAAGTTTTTACATTAGTTGTTTTCAAATTCAGGCTCACTAGCACCTCGTTTTCTGCTGGATAATTATATGTTTC